GACAGTGCCATAATTCACTCTCCTCCTGGCAGCTCACCTGGTGCCAGAACACCACCATGAGATTGACCAGCTGTGTCTCCAGGCCTCTGCAAGATACCCAGGACTGTCTCAGCTGGTCTCAGCTCCAAACAAGGCTGGACTTCAGCAGCCAGTTGTGCCAAGCTCAGTGTGGGCAACTGGTGTTTAAAAGAGAAGAGCTGTGTACTGGCTGTCTTGCACAAGGGCTCATTTCAAGACTGCCTGAGGAGGAAGTGGGCCAGGGAGAGCTGATTCAGTGCATGCAAACACAGGACGAGCAAGAGACAGAGAAAGCAATTGGGAGCAAGCATTGAACAGCTTTGGTCGAAGGTCACTGTTGCAGTCAAAAGCTCCAGCCTGAGGGACCAACATCATCCAATCCTATTTTCCTGTCCAGTCCTTTCTGCACACCAGCCCAGGAGTCATTCTAGCCCCCATCTAGAACATGCTGATGTATATGGGTTCTAAAGCTTCTAGAGACAGAAGAAAATTTACCAGAGCCTCAGCACTACCTCTCCAAGATGGCCCTCTAGCTACTAGAGCAATAATTGGAGTTCAACAGAGAGTACCTTGCAGCAGTGGTTGGTATAAGCAGCAGCTCTGGAGGGTCCACACAGCTCAAAAAGGGGAAACAGGGTAAAAACAAAGCCAAACAAAAAAGAATGCACTTGTGAAACCACGTACATGGTTGAAAGTTCCAGTTCATAGACTCAGCACAGAGGGACAAAAGCCACCAAAGGAGAAAGGGGTTATTTCATCACTGCAGCATAGCCTCCTTTGCACTTGCCCCTCTCCTTGTAGCTGCATTCTTCCCCTAACTTCTGCCTGAGAGCTGTGCTTGTGCAGACAATACCCACATAGGGAGACAAAACTATCTCTTTATGCGATGGGTTCAAGCTTTGCAGGCAAGTAAAAGCATCTAGAGACACATCTGTGCATCAGGAAGGCAGGAGGACTCCTGCTCAGAGTGGACAATATCGATAGTCTCTGCCTCGAGTGGACCCTGGGAGGGTGGCAATCAGCACGTAAGAACAGGCTGTGGCAGACGCTGCAGTGCAGCTGAAGCTCACCAACCACCACAGCTGTAGGTAACTTCAACGGCAGCATCCTCAGCACAAAGAACCACCCAGAAAAGTTACAAGAAATATGCCAAGTTTGTCTTTGGCTTTTAGAGTGGCAACTGGCAAGGCTGTTCACATCCCTCAAAGATACAGCTGCCCTAGAATGGAGGATTCAGTTTCAAGGCATGCAAGGAGACGGGCAGACAGTTTGGAGGTGCATTAGCAGAGAAGCAAAATGAGCAGCTTATCAAAGAACACAAAGGTGGAAAGACCACCCCCTTAGTCGTCTACCAAAAATCTAAATCTATGTGGTTAGATAAGACAGAGCAGAGCTGCGCTTTGATACCTGCACTGGATGTAGACCACACATGAGTCACTGGAAGCTGAGACGTCTTAAACTTCCTTTGTACCTGACAAGGAATGGCAGACCTCATCCTGGGAGTCAAAATTTAGCATCAAATTTAAGACACAAGAGCATGCACAGCACATGTTTGGGCATTCTCTCTTCCTGTCTTGGCCTTCCCTGAAGCAAGCAGGAAGCATGCCCACAGCTCTGCCCAGGTCAGCCAGATGAAAAAGCCCCCAAGAGCCTCCTACAGCAGCTGCGGACGGCAGGAGCAGAGCTCCTGGGTGACTCCAAGGTCTACTACTCGTGAGGGGTAGGAGGATCAGTACAGCACAGAGTCCTCCACTACCTACCAAGATGACTTCAGCCCCATGGCTTTTCTTGCTGAATTTTTGCTCCCTGAGCAGGCTGAAGATGTGGTAAATTGCCCTCTGCTTTGCTTCTCAAGATAAAAGCTTTCTGGTGATGCTGGGCAGGGGGTATCTGTGTGGGAAACCAGGGCTCTGATGCTCTGCACACACTGTCCTACACAGTGCATCCTGATGTCTTGCTGCAGTGGAGTGAGAAGCAACCTGCTTGTTTCATTTGCCTTTTCTTAAAGGATTGCTGAAAAAAGTGACATTAGGACCATGAGGTTTGGAAAGAAAGCCACTTGACCCAGGAAACAGTAACATCTGCATGATCTTAATTCTGCCCCTTTGCTGACACGTTATGACCACAACTAGTGGCATGAGAACATCCCGTTTTCCTGCAGGATTAGGCCTGGTCCTGCACTTGAGGTGGCAAAAGAGAGAAGCAATGCTGTGCACCAGCCAGCGAGATGGGGCATCTTGCTTTATGCAGGCCCAAAAGGCCCGAGGCACTGTGATTCCAGAGCCATTAGCTTCCTGGCCTTGTCCAAAGCTGAAGTCTTCAGAAGACACTTAAACAAGGCAAGTGGTTGTCAGAAGAGGAAGAGCAGTTATTCATGCAGCACTAGACTAGGACTTATTGCTGTAGTCTCAGCTTTGCTGAGGCTCAGGGACTTGCCCAAAGTCACACAGGAAATCTCTGTGGCTCAGTTCTGCATCAGAGAAAGGGTGATAAAATTTCCTGACCTCTCTGGAGGAGGGTACAAGATGTTCAGGTAGCACAACACCAAAGACAGGGGAGAAAAAAAAGGCAGGGGAAGTACTTGCTACATGCTAACTTGAGCTCAGTAAGGATAAGCTGCTTCAAAGAGCAAGGCTGGGAAGAGACACCAGTCATCTCCCACGCAGTGCAGATATTCAGTGAGTCTTGCTAAAAATCACTCCAACACATAACACAAATTGTCCTCTAAAAAACCCTTATGGAGAAAGAAGCAACTTTGCTAAGCAGCTGCATCCATTGCCCAGCAACAGCCTTGCCCTACAGCCACACAAAAATCTGCAGGCTTTTGGTTGTGTTTCCCAGCTCACAGGATCCAGACGGAATGAGGAGCAGGGTCTTTGCTAAGGCTCCACTGTAGATACATGGAATTTCATTAACAATTCACTGTGAATTCAGGAAATCAGAGGCACTTTCCACATATCAGGGTGATGTTATTGCCACACTTCACAGGTATTCGTAACATATGTAACACCGGGCTCTCAATCTCACTTTTCACTTGACCCACATTCCACTGAGAAGAAAGTTCATCTTTATTTATCTGGACTTTCTGCTTTTCCTTGCTCACTCACAGGAATGTTGTCTGCATGTTAATGCAAGTGGGAGGAGGCAGGAGAACTAGTGGCAACACCATCCACTTCCCATCTGGGACAATCCAGTCCCTGGCCTGCATGGCGTTAAGGCCACTCAGCCCCCAGGAGAAAGAGCACCCAGCTGGCCTCAGATGACTTCTGCCAGCTGACTCACAGCCTGATGCTGGCAGGCTCTCCAGATATGACAGAGCTTGAATGCCCCAGGGAGAGAAGCATCACTCCAGGGAAGACTCTTTAGGCTGGGAATAGGCAAGGAGGAAGATTTTCGATTATTTTCCTTGCAGTCTCTTCTCAGCCTCATGGTGCCCTTCTATGTGGGACTCAACAAATCATCAGGGACTCCAGATCAGCAAGCAGAAGTGTAGTTTCCCCAGCCTAGCCACAAGCCATCTTGCCACAAAACCCAGCTCTGCACTGGCTGCCTTTGACTACTCTCTCCTAGTAAAAACTCCCACCTGCCCCACTTAAAAAAAGCCAAAACCCCAAACCACATAAAACATCCAAAGGAGGTGGAGGCCTAAACATCATGCTAGATGAGATCAGCTTGGTGAGGATATGTGAGCCTCATCACTGCCTGATGTCAGGCTCAGCCACCGGGGCTCTCCCAACAGCTCACCTGGCCACCACCTCAACTACAGCCAAAGCAGGGGGATCATCACACCTTGCCTAGGAGGGGCACCTGGACAAACTATGACGAGACCTCTGGGAAGCCACAGAAGAACCCAAGGAAGCAGGCACAGCAGGGCTATCAGCAAAGACAACACAAGACAGCCAGCTGCACGAATGGAGTGGATCCAGCACATGCCTTAAGGCCACAGCCCTGTATGGAGAGTGTGTCCTAGGTAGCTGCTAGTCCTAGTGGCTAACACAAGGGCAGGTTCAGTTCAGATCTCTCTGCAGAACCTGTCCAAATTCTTAGAACACACATGGGCAGACACCGGCTCCCATGTGCTCCCAGAGAACAAGTGACAAGTGTTGCTTGTCCAACAAGTGACAGCCACAATTGTCAGCCGAGCCAAAACACAAAGTACCACAATGGTAACCTTTTATTTCTGTTTTTATAACACCCCCGTCTACCTTCAGATCACCAACACAGATTGCTGCTAGGACAGTGGCCACAGCTCACTGTGAGAGTGCAGCTCCAGCACCAAACACAGCAAGGTGTGCCCTGCAGCTGCTAACTCGTGTTCATCCATCCCCAACTACAACCTCTTACTGCTGCACCAAGCTCCTCACAGCCCAGCTGGGGCCCCACCAGGGCAAACACACCAGAATACAGGCCACCAGCACTGCCAAACTTCAGCCAGACTGTGCTGGTGCCCTCAAGTTTCCATGGTGTTTTTGGCCTGACTGCAATAAGGTTTTTTCCCATGCACAATCCTCTAAAGGACCAAATATAAAATTTTGCCTGCTTTTTTGGCTGCTGAGTATCCCACAATCTGGCTCTGAAAAGGCCACGTGCCAGCTGTCCAGAGGTTAACAGGTTTCCCCCCTCCAGGCTTCACATTCCTATTAACATGGCAGTGCCTGGGCTGTTTCAGACAGGCACTGCCAGATAAGATTTACCAAATGCAGGCAGCACATGCAACGCTGTTCAAATGTCAGGACTAGCAGCTCTTCTCCTCCAGAGGAGCTCTCAGCCCAAAGCTATGCTGGAAAGGAGACATCAAAACATCACTAGAGCACATGGGACACCAAATCCATTTCCAAACCTATCACCCCAATGTCCTTAATAAGAAAACAAAGAGTTTTGGGGTGAAGGTGGAGATTCAACAGTGCTTTGGCTCTGCCAACCCAGCTCCTCTTCCCTTCACTTGCACCACCAAGTCCTTGCACCACCAACGGGACACTCACCTTGAGGATCTTAACGACGACCCTCTCGTTATTGGTGATGTTGATGGCCTCGAAGACCTCGCTGTACTTCCCTCGCCCGAGCTTGCGGACCAGCTGATAGTCGTCCTGATTGCTGCGGGCACGAAGAGGAGAGGGGAGGGGATAACTGACAGGGCAGCAGGCCGGGGGGGAATGGAGCCTCTCCCGGCCGCCCCCTTCAGCCACCCACAGTCCACAGGGGACGCCCCGAAACGGGGGGAAATGGAGGGCAGGGAACCCTCCCCGTGGGCTGAGGCCCGCAGGAGGGTGCGGGGCCGCCGGGGAAGAGGGGAGGGGGG